ATTCTTGTAACAATTTTTGCGATCAATCGAAAGCAATAATTCACTCAATCTCGTCTACATCCCTCGCGGAATTTCTAAGTCTTGACAAAACAAACATCTCGATCACATCCTATACGGATTACTCACAGTCTTAGCTAAATCATAAATTATACACTTACTCTCGTTGCTGCTGGCTACAGTAACGAACCTATACGAAACTTCAGATCTGACTAATACATCCTTCGCAGGATTAAAAGCGCTATACAAATAAAAATGTTCATTATCGAGCGGATATGTTCAAAGGAAAACATATGCGTAACCCGAAATGCTCATTCTAAACCGAACATACAAACCGTTCGTTTTATCGCAATATGTTCATTATCGAGCGGATATGTTTAAATAGAAGCATATGCGTAATCCGAAATGTTCACCTTAAACCCAACAAAAGAGACGTTGGTCGCAACGAGATACATGTTCGGCTTGGAGCGGACTTGTTATTGAAAACTCGTCTGTAAACCAAAATGATCATCCGAAAACCCAATAATCTGACTATTGGTCTTAACTACATTACGTGTTCGCTTCTCGGAGCAAGGTTATTGATTGGAGCTTGCTTGTAAACCGGACTCGACATCAAAAAAAAAAACCTAACATACGAAACGTTGGTCGCATCACAAGTCAGAAATCTAAGTTATTTTTGGAGTAGACTATTTAATGAGAACTCGTCCGTAAACCATAATACTTAGCTCAAAACTCAGTACACAAGCTACTGGTCACGTCGAAAATCTAAGTCATTTTTGGAGCGGACTTGTTAATAAGAACTCGTCCGTAAACCATGATTCTTAGCTCAAAACCCAATACACAAACTATTGGTCGCATCAAAAATCTAAGTTATTTTTAGAGCGGACTTGTTAAAGAGAACTCGTTCGTAAACCAATATACTTATCTCGCAAGCCACTGGTTATGTCACGAATCCAAATTGTTTTTGGAGCGGATTAGTTAATAAGAGGTCGTCCGTAAACCACAACACTCGATATAAAACCATCAATACAATCACAAAAATCTTTCTAACTCAACAAAGACACACCTTGGCATAAATGCTTCTCGGCAAAAGAAAAGACCTCGTCAAGGGGAGACCTTGCCAAGTCTAGACATCTTAGCAGAACCGGCGAGCTCTTGGCGTAAGCTCTCACCCACCTCGGCAAGAGAGGGAGTCCTAAACGAGTTCCCAAGCTTGGCAAGGGAATAATATCTAGGCCCAAGGAGATCTTGGCGCAAAGAGATCTCAGCACAAGGAGACCTTGACTCAAAACCAAGTAACTACGGTGCCGACTATCACGAATCAAATATGACGCCGACTACTATGCAAAGCGCGACGGTGCCGAGATGTGACAACGGCGACTCCTCCTCACCGCGTCTCGTCCTCGGCCTGTTTTCAAGGGAAAGAGATCTCGGCACAAAGAGATCTCGGCACAAAGGGATCTGGGCACAAAGAGATCTCAACACAAGGAGATCTCGGCACTAGGAGACTTTGGCACCAGGAGACCTCGACACAAAACCCAGTAACCGTGGCAACAAATCGAAGTCGGCGGTAACAAATCGAAGTAGCCAAGATTTTGATTCAACCTCGCCACAAGTTCCAAGTGACCGCGGCGGCGACCTCTAAATTTTGACTCAAGGGAGACCTCGGCAAAGACATAAAACGGTGAGATCTCAGCACCAATCCATAGTTTGCCGAGAATTCAAAGCAATAAACTCGACAAGAAACAACCTCGGCACTAATGATCTTGGAAAGACCTCAGAAACATGCTGAAGAGCTCGGCCTAGTGATATGTGGCAAGATCTTTGAGTCAGCTTTTCAACAAAGTTGAAATCATATCATTCGRAGTTGCGRTCAGCAAGATACGCTAGATTTACGAAAGACATGTCAAAGCAATAAACTYGCCAAGAAGCGAGCTCGGCACTAACGATCTTGGAGAGTCCTCGGCAGCCCGCTACTGAGCTCAGCCTAGTGACGAGTGGAAAGATCTTTGAATCAGCTTTTGAACAAAGTTAAAATCATATCATTCGGAGTTGCGGTCAGCAAGATAAGTCCAATTTACTAGAGACATGCTGAAATGCAAGGATATGCTCGTTCGTGCCGAGCTAGAGAGATGAGCTCAGAAAAGTCTTAACAACCTCCGATCGAGCTGAAATTTTGGCACGAAATAGCTAATTGAACAAGCTTTCATGCAAAAGAAACACAAATTCATTTGGACCAACGGTCTGAAAGTTGCATCAATTATCATGGAGACATATCAATCTGGCCGATCTTTCTAGCTATGAACTGGCTAGTTTAACGAGCTCGTGGTCATCGCAAAGATGGCCGAGCACATGACAAAGACAATGCCAAATTCTCCATCACTACAAGCATGAGAACTTCTCTAAGTAACGCGACCCAAAAAAAAAACATAACAAAGGGAAAGATGACGAGAAGACTAAGTGATGTCGGCAAAACCTTTCTCAAAATTGATCTCGGCTAGACGAGGAGTCCTCGGCAACACTAATCTGCGGCGGGCTGAAACTAAAACAACCCCTCCTCGGCCAAAATGGCGAGACCTCGGCGACGGTTAAAGAAAGTAATCGGTGAATTCTCAACTCAAATCATAGTAGTCGGCACGAGTATACCTTAAAAGAAAATCCAATGACGATGATGCCAACCTCTGAACTCTCAAGTCTTGAGGCATAGTGCTGACTTCTACGCAAGCACAACGATGCCGAGGAGACAAGATGGCGGATTGGAGACAATGCCGATTACTATGAAAACATGATGACAACACCCAAAGATTGAGGACGGCGACATGGTGAGCTGAAATCAAGTTTAATCGGCCTCTCCAGAAACTCAACTTGACGAGGTCCCCATGGACGAGTTTTCTCTTCTCGACAACTACTACGTGAAGCCGAAGTGGCGAATAGCCCAATAGGAGATATTGCCAAACTACTGTGAACTAGAGATAGATCTAAGGTGTCGATTAAGAGCTCTCGTAGACATAAAAACAAAAAAAAGTTTCGAGCTAAACTACGACATATGAGCTCGGCAAGCTTTCACAAAACAAGCTCGAGCTCGACAAGSTTTAACGAAACAAGCTTGAGCTAYGCAAGAAAYAATTTCATAAAAAATCTTCAACTCGTATTTTCAATATGAATTTTTACTAAGTATAAGAAATTGTCAAGCTAAACATTTCTAAACATGCAAGCTTGGCAATGACGAAATATGAACGATACAAAACTACTTTGTTGTCACAAACTCGTACAGCTTTGACAAAACAAGCTTGAATTTATTCTGAAAGCATTGTTGGGTTAAGCATTTCCTGAAACATGTAAACTCGACAACTTTAGCAAGACGGCGAATTTCAATAAACACGAGTCTAGTCGAAACGGGAAAACAAATATGAGTCGGGYTACRACGTTTACAAAAGCATTTTAGCTCGGCAAAATAATCATGAACATGTTTTGACATAAAGCCATTTTAACACGAAACTAAGGCTGAAAGCATCGACCTCGTCTTCAATTTTCTTTAAGCTAGGCACTCTCCTAACGAACAATACCAAGCTGGGGGGCTAACTGTTGGGGTTAAAACTCCCTCTGATAGTTTTTTCCCATAAAATGGCTAAGTATGGAAACGGATAGAAATGAGATGGTGGCAAGTTCATTCTGGAGACCTAGACAACTTGATGGAAATGACACACCCCGCCTGTCGCTGGAGCTTTCTGCCGACTACTGCTGATTCCTCCGACCACTGCATTGCCGACCCCCATACCTCTGCCGACAACCATACCGCCGACGTCTCCCATTGCCGACTACTACCTCGCCGATGCCGCTACTTTGAGTGCTCGACTGCTTGCCAACATCTCTACTAGGAGTACTAGGCACTGAGCCGAGAATGGTTGTGTAGCCCACTTGATCCATTACGAGCAATGGGCCGAGGACCATAGGTCCAAGATGGTGAGATGGCGAGATGGCAAGGTCAGGCCCAAGATGGTGAAGCCCATGGCAAGCGCCGACTATGAGAAATAGAAAATCTCGAGGAATACGGAAAACTTCCTTATCTCTTATTTGTTAGACCTAGCCGACTTAGACTTGTATAAATACTCTTGTAATTCCTCGAAAGAGGGGATCCGCAACTTTTTGGCAAAAACACTTAGCATCAAATCAATAAAGCTTTCTTAACGCTATTTTCGTGTTTTCTGTCTTTGTTCTTGGTTGTTCTTGTGATTCTTTCCCAGAGATCTTGTTTCCCTTAAAAACCCTTGACAAATTCAATTGAGTTGGTTTCGACCTCCACAATTTGGCGCCGTCTAAGGGGAACACTAAGACTCTCTTACGCAAAAAGAATCACTTGACAGCAGATCTAGCAAGGATGACAACCAGCGACGAGGTTGAGATCCCCAGTCTGAGAATGTGACAAACAAATTGACACTTTCATTCCCATTCCGAAGGGACAAGAATGTTTCAATGCTTTTTTCCGATTCAATGTACACCGGTGGCCTGGTTCCACCGACCATGACGTCCATAACACCTTTAACCTAGTAGCTCAGTTGTGCATTCGAGTGTTGTTCATCTACAGAGAACTCGTTGCATATCAATCTTTTCAAATCGGTGTACGCAACATTAGCCTTCATACGTACACACCTCGCCATCTTTTCTTTGTCTATCACAAAATCCCAGACACCAACATCTGAACAATTCCAAACTCCTGCAACAACAAATACTGGGGATTCCATAACCCTGCAATAAATTCACAGGTGAAATGGGAATAAATCAGTTAACTTCTTCGCAATAAATGAGAATGTTCCTTAATACAAATGTATGTTCTGTTTCATCTCACATCAATAAATTCCCTCTACAAATTATTCTTACACTTACCAGAAATAAATGTGGTCCCACTTTCTTCCAAACGATGTGTACAGAATATGCTTCACGTAAGAACACACCTTCTTTACCAATAATTTTCTTTTTCTTTTTCACAATTCTTCACTTTTATTTCTACTGTAAATATTTTCAGGTATCCACACCATATACATAACTTTTACCCAATATATTCGAATAAAATCATTATATTTGTAGTTAGTGTACATATAGATATAGCTTTAGGGATTATTTATTCTGGTAGATAAACATCTAATCTCATAGCTATTAATTACTCCCTATGACTTCTATCAGCTCTCTTTAAAGTCACGTGTCAACTCTCTTTAAATGCTCTTTCAAATGACGCTGAGGGCATTTTCGTCCGAGATCAAGTGTCATGTGACATATCTGTTACCCAAACACAGATGTGCTATTTCAGTACTCTGAAACTAGTTCTTATGACATTTTTGTAAATTACTCTTTATAAAATCATATGTTTGACCAAAAAAAAAAGAGTGTTTTGGTACTGCATTGGAAAACCAAACACTCTCTATCCATAGTTTGGATTAACTTTTGTGTTATGTGTAATTCCTAAATTCATCATTTATTTAATCAATATTTTGATAATTTATAACAGTTTCGAAATCTATACCAAATATATGAAATTTACATACATAATGTCGTACATATATAATCTATCACCTTTTTACTGAATAATCCGTTGAAAATTTAAAAATTCATGATAAAATAAACATAAACAAATAAATAAAACAAGATTTTGATCTTTATAAAATTTTCAAAGTATATCAAAAACGCATGTAAATTCGCAGGTGTAAACGCATGTAAATTGAGAGAAGGGATGATTTTCACAAAATACAATTCGGTCACTAAAATTTGCAATTTGTGCAGATTTTATCGGTGAAGAATGAATGTGATAATAAAAAAAAAATCCAACGGATAAAAACTCTCCGTCACATTTCTATCTTCCGGCGAGAGGAATAATAACCTAACGGTCACCGATGAACAACTCCACCAGAT